ACATATCTTGATATTTTTTTAAAAACATATTACATCACATATATAGATGGAAAACATTATCGTTTCACATACTGTTACATATACATTCACTTTCTGTTTATCGAAATCTGCAAAGTACATCTATATTCAATCAAGGGTATCATTTCCTATGATTTTAAACACTCGTTATTTGATAAAAAGTGAATACATAACTCCACCGAAATTCATCTATTTGAAAAAAAGTGAATACAAAACTCTTGCAAAATTTCAATGTTTGCATGTTATTGAATCCATTTCCAGATATAAAGTAATAACCCAAGGAATGACAACAAAAAATTGTAATTTGATGAATAAATCAGTATATCAAATTAACAAAGCATACCCAAATTTTCGATTTCATTAATAATGACATGCCATGGCTAATTTCAACTCATCAAGGGTAAATCTGATGACCTCTCAGCTGTTTTTTTTTCTCAAAAACATTGTACAAAGGCTCAAAAGAGTCATTTGTAGATAAAGATGGAAATAAAAGAAATGACTCATTAGAAATCAGGGAAAAAAAGAAACAAACTTACAAACCAAACATACAAACAGATAGATGTACATATACACACTGTAAAAAGTGAATACACCGAAATTGATTTATTTGATAAAAAGTTAATACAAAACTCTTGCAAAATTTGACTGTTTGCATGTTATTGAATCCATTTCCATATATAAAGTAATAACCCAAGGAATGACAACAAAATTTTTTAATCCCTTAATCTAACAAGGACAAATACATTCACATAGAAACAGATAGATGTACATATACACACACGGTAACAGATACATATACAATGTTTAAACTATTGACATAAAGAGTGACTATAAACAATATACTACATCGCTATTACAAATATATACATACACTAACAGTGACAAATACATTCACATACAAACAAATAGATGTACATATACACACAGTAACAGGTACATATACAAACAAATCGAAGACGACTTCAAGATGAAACACATTGAATAATCATAACAAAAACTTTTAATAGCATACCTAAAAGAATAATAGAAGGCGACTTCAAGATTTGATATTACGTTCTCTTTTGCTCTGAAATTTGGATTCCATGTGAATGAAAATAACCGTGATAATGTATTTAAAATAAATTGATTAGGTAACTTACGTTTTTTAAGGAATTGATAAGCATGATATATTTGAAAGATATCTTTATCGTTTTAAATTAAATAATGATTATTTACTTTCCATTTGTTTGAATGTTGCAGGAAACAATCAAATTGACGTGCACAAATCAAGCAATCGATGTGTTTAATGAAGGGCAATATCAGAAATTAACATTATGAAAAAGAGTGGGAAAATTCGATTGGGGGGTGCTATTTGACTGCCACGTGTACAAATTCTACTTATTTATTAGATTAGGGGATTAGTTTTGGAAACTTAAACATAACCTTGACTTAACGTAGTTGCTTAGATCTGGACCTAAAATATCAAAACACATTAATTAGAAAAATTGGAATAGAGTTGTTCCCTTGTTGGTAACCTAAGAGTTTTGTTAAAGAACAATAAAAAGTCCAGGGACCAAATTTTGACATATGACAAATTGGTTGGGGAACGAAAAACAAGATCCCCAATTCCCTCGTTCACTACATTTCAAACGATTGGGGTCTCGAGAACAAGCACATTCATTGGGAATTTCTGTGGTGTTGTGCGCACAAGCACAACCACCACGGAGTCAACCGAGCTTCATCAGGAGTCCCCTCGTGTGAAGAGAGCTAGGGCCGTCGAGGAGGAGTGTAATGAGTATGAGCAGATTCTGTTCAGTTCAGTTGGATGAATAATAGCCTAGTGGTTGGGTATGCAGGCAATGCTTTTGCTGGGTCAGACAAAGTGAACGTTCAACTAATTGATGTCATCAACAGGGAGATTAAGATCCGGAGCCCTGTTTTGTCGCAACAGGTTTACTGCGGCGAGGAGGGTCATTTAGCATATTTGGTCCCAACCCAAGGTCGCCGCCGGTAGTCATTAACGGAAGATGGGGCCGTTTGCTGACTTAAAGTTGGATAACGTCATAAGTCATAACCCCTGTTCATCAAGATGCCGGGAAATTTGGACATATTTTTCAATATCCACTTACGGCGGCTAGTGGAGGCACCGGGTTCTGGAATCTGGGGTGGCCCGCGCATTCAATCGCTTGCCCCAGTCATTATATTCTTTTTTGATTGATGCTCTGCGACATTATATATAGTGGTACTTTGATGCAAGTTTTTATTACAACTTGATATCATCTTCTACAAAATCTTTTCTAAGTGGAAAAAATGACATGGATTTCAATATGCACGGGAAAATCTGGATTTGCTGCTTCTTCTACAGCTGAAGATGTTACTAAAGGAGTTGATGGAACCGGCCTCACTGCCATTGTTACTGGTAATCTTACTTCTAATGCATGTGTGTGGCTGTATTCATGTCCTCTGACCTCTGTTTACTATATATGATATTGCTTCTCCCGAGTCTTATGTTTTTAATGATTGTTCAGTGATAGGCCTCAATCAACCATTTGGAAAAAAGTAAAAACAAAACTGTTGATGGTTTGGTTGTGCTAAGTGTATCGTCAATCTAGGAGTTAGAAAGAATGTCAATTTGCAGAAACTATTTTCCTGTACATCGATTTAACCCATAAGCCATAACATTTTCAACTGAATGACTATTTCATGATGAACTTTATAAACGGTTCATATGAATCAGTGATTTGTCAGTTGTTTGCTATAACTGGACGATTTTTATTGATGTCGAAGTTAAAACGCTAATCTATTTGAACTTTAATAGTGAGAACCGGCACTATAAAGTAGGGATACGTTCATATTATGAACCATATTTGCGTGTAACATGTTCTAATAAAACAAATATGCGCATGATCCATTAATCCATATTCAATCCTTTTACACCCATATTTTATATGACTTTCAGGAGCAACGAGTGGTATCGGATTAGAAACCACACGTGTGCTTGCCTTACGTGGGGTACATGTCATTATGCCAGTCAGAAACCTTGAATCTGGTAAAAAAGTGAAAGAAAGCATTGTTGAGAAAATCCCAAATGCAAAACTTGATGTGATGGAATTAGATATCAGCTCAATGCAATCTGTGCGACAGTTTGCATCACAGTATCGTTCAAAGGGGTATCCTTTGAACATCTTAATGTAAGACAATCTCATCATTTAAAACATTCCTTTGTGGTTAGTTACTTAGTTATAAGTTGAGATGTTGCAAATGAACTAATAATTCTATTGATATGTGGTGTTGAAAAGTCTGAATGCAGGGATTATGACTCCTCCCTTCTCTCTTAGCAAAGACAAGATAGAATTGCAATTTGCAACCAACCATGTTGGTATGTGTCATGATCTCCATACTACTTGTATATGTTGTTTCAGATGCAGAAAGGGACATACATAAATAATTTGGTTTGTTTTGTTTATTTAGGTAACTTCCTTTTGACAAACTTGTTGTTGGATATAATAAAAAAAACTGTGAAAGAAAGTGGGAAAGAAGGAAGAATCGTTATTCTTTCATCAGAGATTCATAGGATGACATACAAAGAAGGAATCAGGTTTGATAAGATCAATGATGAGAAGAGGTAAACCTTTATTTTCTTTCAAGATTGGAAGCATCTCATTAAATTCTATAAACATTGAATTAACATGCATATGGTGTTTATTGGTGATTTGTGATACAGCTATTGCGCTTTCTCAGCTTATGGGCAATCAAAGCTTGCAAATGCATTGCATGCGAAAGAGCTGACAAGGAGGTTTCAGGAAGAAGGTGTGAAAATAACTGCAAATGCTGTGCACCCTGGAGTTATTGCCACCAACCTTGCACGCAGTGGTGGTTTCAATGGTACTCAACCCCTAATTTCACATCCAGTTTCTTATTTACTCCCCAAAGATTAAATATATATCTTCTTTCATTCTGACCATCATAAACTTGTGTTGGTGCAGCTGTATTCTATGGTATATTCAACCGTTTCTTGAAGAACATCCCACAGGTTTCTTAAATTTTCCACTTGTTCGGCTTTATTCATTGCTTTTTTTTTTATCAAAGATGATTAAATATAAGTTATAATTGTGGTTTATGTGAATCCAGGGGGCTGCAACTACATGCTATGTGGCGCTGCATCCACAAGTAAAGGGCGTTAGTGGCCAGTATTTTGCGGACAGCAACTTGTCTAAAGCAAGCAACTTTGCTCAAGACCCTGAACTCGCCAACAAACTCTGGGATTTCAGTTTGAGGTTGACGAATTCTAAGTAATATGGTGGTCAACTTCTTGGACCAATGTAAATTTTATGTAACAAATAATGTTGAACGTTTTTATATATAATGGTATTTGTGGTAACAAGAGTTTTAGATGTTTTATGTAATCGTTTTTAGTTTATATGATGAATGAAACTCGTTTCTATATTTTAGTTTTCGGCTTTACTTTGGTTTGGAAACGAGTCAAACGACCCAAATAAGGTCTGTGACATGCTATTTGGTCTCGCATTGGATTTTGCAACAGTATAACGGATAAGACGGTCCAATATGATAACTGATGATTGGATGCCTTGAATCATTGAAAAATGAGAAATTAAATATCCTCCTACATTTTATTTCTATCCATCTTCCTATCATATCAAATGTTAACATGTGTCACATTTAATGACACATTTAATGAAATTAATACTAATTTAATCTATTTGTCATCATTTGATATGGTAGGAGGAGGAGTAGGAATAAAATGCAGGAATAAATTTAATTTCTCTTGAAAAATATAAATCTGTTATTTTTACACCTTCCACTCTTACAACTTAAGTGTACCCTCTTTACTAATTTCCAAGATTATCAAGATATGATTTTATCTGTTATTATTATATACCCGTAATTGTAGAGTGTAAAGGAGTCAGAGTCGAGTCAAATATCCAAGCTTGAAATTCGCCTCATGCAAAAATAAAAGCCTTGACAAATTAGTCGACACTTTCGATTTCAACTCGACTTAAATGTGTAAATATAACTAAGTTCGCAAGCTTCTTGAGTAGAATATATTCCAATAATCATGCAGTCGTGTTTGGCTCAATAATACTTTCGCATAGCTTGAGCTCAACTTGAACCAAATCAATCTACAACATGACAAATCTAGAATAGAAAGCCATATGGTTTTTTGACCATGTTCAACTAGGCGGTTCAAGAGAAACATGTTCAACCGGGTGGATTTAACAAGAAGATCAACCGGTTAGTTTGTATAAAAACTGGTGGAGAGATGACGAGGCCCAAACTGCTCCTTATTTTTTTTTAACTCCAAGTCTAAAACCAACTAAAATTTGGTATAAACCAAGCCTCAACAAGTTTCATGGTATGAAAAAAAAACATCTTCTATATATAACGGAACAACTCCCCCCACCCCCCTTCACCTTCACTTTCTTCTCGAACTCAATATGGACTTTTTTCTAATTACATAAAAGTAGTTATCTAAAAAACACCATTGATTTAAAAAATAATAATAATAATTAAGAATTTGCAAAATTATAAAAGAGTTTTTTGTTAAAAGTTAGAAGCTTTTACTGCCGAACAAATATTTTCTTTTTTCGAGCTTTTTCTTTAAAGCTAGAAGCTCTCAAATATTGTGTGTCGAACATGACTTAAGTTCATTTTGATTGATGTTCTTACGAGATGGAATAAGTTGGTACCAATTAGAGTCAATGTCTTTGGCTTAGCATAAGTCACCAAATCTCTTGGCGATGAAAGTAAACTTAGATCAACAGGGCATTGATTTGGAGTCAACTTTATGCTCATTGTGAGAGGAGGATATTGAATCAGTTTATCATTTTTTTCTCTTGCTGTTTGACTAAATGAAGATTAGATCTTGGTAAAGAACTCCAGATGTGGATAATTAAGGATATGTCTTCCATTTTTGGTTTGTCATATTTTGTTTGTTTTAGAGATTTAAGTTGGAAATTGTGAAGAAATTAACAAGTTGGCTTGTTTCTTTTTGTCCACATTGGTAGGTAACAAAACATTTGAAGGGTTTATAGGTCTTTCCTTTCCTTTAGCGTTAAAAGGATTTAATGGATGTTAAGGGATGAACCATGTCCACATGCACGTTTAGTTAGGACACTGACATGAGACACAAACTTGCAAAATAACACGATTTAGACTCACTTTGCTTTTTTGCATATCACATCATCGCTAGAAGTTGAGAAGCTTTTATTTATAGTAGGGGTTAGGTCGGGTCTGGTTAGACCAACACGTTGACTTCGCGGATAAGTTCACAGGCAATTGTAGGTTTACACATCTATATATCTGTAAGCGCTTGGATTTTATCCCTGTTCATGTTTATGTGTAACACCCGTTGTCCAGGATGGATCGATTTAGGATTTCAAGGAGTCAAAAGGTCGAATTTTGGAAGAAATGGAGCTTCACGACGTTACCTTTGATTGGTCACGACGTGAGATGGGTTATCATGAAAATTTTGTTCGGGACTGGTCTAACGATGTGAGACATAGAGGATCACGACGTGAGAACTGATGCAGCCCAAGCCCATAATCATTTAGGGTTTCCTTCGTATTTATGTCCCTCTAAACCCATTTTAGGGTTCATTATCAACCTCCAAACCCTCTTTCACCTTAGAAAAACCCTAACCTCCATCCCTTGCTTGATTCTTGTCCATTTTGGAGCATTTCTTGGTTTGAAGAAGAAGAGAAGAAGAAGAATAAGGTGAACTTTTGAAGAGGCTTGCAAGGAATCATCATCACCATCACCTCACATTGTTTTTGGACCCTTGTAAGTGTCAAAGCTTCCACTTTTATTATTGTTTGTGGCTAGATCTAAGTTTTGTCCCACTTTTCTCCTTGGTTGAGCAAGTTTGTGTTGGGTTTTGAGCATTCTAACACTCCTAAGTGTACATGCAACCCTAAATACCTTGGATCTATG